CCTCGATATATCCAAAGTAAGTCATGTCACTCCTTTTACTCAACCTATTACAGGTTCGTGCTAGTGGTGTGATTTTGTGATTTACGCGACAATAACGCGCAAATGAAGCGGTCGTCGCTTTGCTGCACTGGTTGTGGGCGTCAATCAGGTGCTGCGCAACTGGCCATTTGCCTAGATGCCCCCAGGCCTTTTTCCGCGTTCACTGGCCCAGTGATTGCCATCACATCGATTGTGACTATTAAGGGGGGGTTGCGCGTAACCACGTGATCCTTCCAGCTAAGCGACCACACCACAGCATGTTCAGGATTTCTTCACTCATGATTGGATTGAAACCCGCTGAATTTCTTTTTTAATGTTAGAAATTCACCCACCAACTCAGCTCGGGACTTCTTTATTGCCACTCACATCGCATTCTTCACCGGGATTTAAAGCCGCAGAACTTGCTTATCGATAAACGCAACAACCTTAAGCTTGCAGACTTTGGCCTGGCTAGAGCGTTCGGTATACCCATGAGGACCTATACCCACGAGGTGAGTATTTTGTCCCTGAGGGTGTAGTACTTGTCTGTTGGATAGGGTATGTATCTCATTTGTGATTTCATTTCTACCCGCTACCTAGGTCGTCACGCTTTGGTACCGTGCCCCTGAGGTCTTACTTGGGTCTAGGCACTACTCAACATCCATTGACATGTGGTCCGTTGGGTGCATATTCGCGGAAATGGTCATGAGAGGAAACCCACTGTTCCCTGGTGACTCGGAGATCGATCAAATCTTCAAGATCTTCAGGTGTGTTTACTCTATGCATTGGTATTTTGTGATTAACATGGTTATCCAAGGATTTTGGGAACACCGAGCGAGCAAGTCTGGCCAGGAGTCAGTCAATTACCTGACTACAAGGAGACGTTCCCGCAGTGGTCGAGGCAAGACTTGCGCAATATTGTGCCCAACCTGGATGACATGGGTATTGACCTACTATCGGTGAGTCGTCGTATCATTGTCGGACTCGGTGTGGATGCGATCGCCTCTCGTGTTAACACGTTGTTTCTCCTAGCGAACGTTGACCTACGATACGGCAAAGCGCATTTCAGGTAAGTCCCCGCAGTCGCATTTCATGCTTCTAGTGTATAGTGATTCTGCCCTTCCAGCGAAACGTGCCCTTATCCACCCCTGGTTCGCAGATTACAATTCATGAAAGGGGGAGTACCATTGTCGCAGCTTCTCGTTTCACGCATTCTGTTCTTTCACCACAATCATCTGTCGTTCGTGTTTCGCATGAGTTTGAGTCCTCCAATCCAATTATCGGTGTTAGACTACGCCCTATGTTTCTAGTATGTAGTCATTTTACAAGGATGCTTGTGGTGATTCGGTCGCGTACACATCCAGTGTGGCCGGATTATTTCCTAAATAGAGTGGCCACATGGTCAAGGCGTTACCTGTGATAAAGGGGAGTGCATTGCCATCTGGTCACGGCTCGAGTGACTCCTCTCATCCTCCCCTCACCATCGACGAAAGGTCCTCTACAGCACTTTGGATTTTTGACGATCAAAGTTTCATGTTGAAATCGATAGACATCCTGGACGACGAGGTCCAGTACATGGGCACGAAGTTTGCTCCGCCAGAGCCCCTGGACGGCCCCTGTGAGGCGCAGGAGTCGGTTACGGGCATGTCGCCTTGTTACCGGCCTCAAGGATGATGCTGACTCCTGTAATTTGCAGGAATTATCTTACACATTCAGAAGTCCAGCGAGAAGCCTGCTCATGAAATCACGTTTCACCGGTCCCGCTCAAGCTACGTGAACATCGGGCGTAAATCAACGTCCGATGATAAGTCAATGAGACGAGAGAACGACGATCACAATGCGGTTTTCGCATGCCAGGTAGTGAGCGCCAAGCATGCTAAGCTAGTCCTTTCGGACAGCGGACAGGTATCATTCTTTTCCGCAATTCATGCGAGCGCTACGCTCAAGAAGAATGATAGATCTACATCGTCGACCTTCATTCACGACACGGGACTCATATTTTAAGGCGTGGGGAAACGGTGCCCAAATTGCTGAAGGCCGAAGTCGAAACTGCTCTTGCCGATGGCGACATTCTTACCTTCGGCAAGGTAGTTGGCGCTGGCTCATATCTCGTTTCTCCTGTTATCGCCCGCGTCGAGCTCCTCAGGAGCAACTCGTCTTCCAACACACTGTCTCCCTTCCGCGCGCTGACTCCTATTAATTCTCTGAGTCATGTGGTCTCACGGAAGCGGAAGCTGAGCTCGGGGCGCTACGGGCTCTTTGTCCCTCCATCGTATATGGAGTCTGATTCCCCACATGCCACCTCTTCCTTGTATGCATCTTCTGACGATGCTTCCTCACCATCTGAGCATGGATCTGACGTAGAGGAGGTTCAGTCTTGTGTGCCTTCTCTTCTCCGAGATAACCAGGACAAGACTTCGGTCAAGTTCCCCACGTTCCGCTCTTTTATCAAAGATATGTACAATAACAACACACCACATTCTTCTGCTGCCACAGACGACCTGGACGTGCCCTTACCAATAGACGCCCCTGTGTCGCCTTCCTCTTACCTCGAGGCACTCGGTCCACCCTCTCCTGTTGTGGTGGCCATCGACCCTGCTCCTAAATCTCGTTCTCAATCCCCTATGGAGCTATCCACGCCATCTCCGTCCCCACCATCAGAAGCCCAGCAGTCAGAGCCGGCTGTCATCGGTGCATGGCCTGATTCCAGACCAGAGTCAACACGGCATTCATCAGTGGAAGTCGAGCCACCGAAATCCGATGCGCCAGTTGAGCCTGAGCCTGAGCCTATGCCTGTGCCTCCGGGGCCATCTGGCGGTCAGCACAGAATTTCTGATCTGTTCTTTCCAAACCTTCCCCAAGATGTGACGAGCCTTCCTCCTCCTCCTATGTTTTTCAGCGGGCCCTTCAGCAACTCCATCACATCTGACTTTGGACTCCCACCATCGCTGCCTCCACTGGCACCACCACCACCACCACCTCAGCTACCGTTCTACAAAGTGCTAGCTGATCGCATCGGCTCTGAACTTAAGCCGTCCATCAAGGGCGTCGAGGTAATTTCCATCCGCCTTCATCCTGTTCCCCCTTTTCTGACACGACTTACAGGACCAGGTGACTACCTTGCAGGAATCTGTCGCCAACCTTGAGTCACGCCTGTCCTTCACCGAAGACGACGTTATGGACCTCCAAACTCAAGTTAACGTGCTTGAGCCTGAGTCAGAGCGTTTGCTTTGCCGCATCAACGTGGCTGAGCGCAACATCGCTTCGTTGTCCAGTCTTCAAAGCCAGGTCAACACACTTCACAGCAGGCTAGACGCACCAGAACCCCAGCCTCTTGTGGCGCATCTGAGTGACGTGAAAGCCTGTGCGGAGGCGTTGAGCAATCTAGTCTCTGGTGCGTTGCATCGATTCGTGATTGTTTGCTGAGATATTGACCTGCTTTATAGAGATGAAATCCTTCCGTGAAGATGCTGAGAAGCGGATAGAAGACAAGCTAGAAACTATCAGTGCCGCTCGCGCTGAGGCGTTGAATGTGATCGCCGCCGCTGAGGTTGAGGTTTGTACTTTTTCCTCTAGCGCAGTAAGCCGTCTCTCTGACGTCGTGCAGGTCGTGAAGACTCTGAAGCGGAAGCGCACCGATGACGACGACTCGGAACTTCCGGCTTCTTCAGTCGTCGTTACTGATGCGGTCGTTGAGCCACCCGCCATCAGCGCAACGCAGAACGTCTGCGAAGTCTTCGCTCCCGAAACGTCCAGGCCTCTCAAACGAGCCAAGTCGGCGATGTACACAGTCGCTCAAACTGCCGCAGTCATGGCCGTTGGGGCGGCAGCTACGTGGTCTGCTTTAGCGTTTGCTTGAACACCCCAAGGGCGATTTCAATCCCATGTTGTAAAACAGGATGTACATTAATATGTGTACGGGTACGGATCCGCTCGTTGTACTTTTTCTGTTGTAGATTTACATGTACGATATATTATATTGAAGCAATCCATGTGACATGTACACCCCTACTAGGCTTGATCGCAAGGAAATTTGGCAGCCGCAATGGCAGTGACGGCGGGGGAGAAGTTGTTGCCTTTGTTCACATTCTGAGATTCGGTCTGTGTCTTGTGGATAAGTCAACGTTGTGCTCTGAGTCCATCTAAATGCCATCGGATAGTAGGGCGATTCTCAAGTCGACTTGCCAGTGCTTCGCCTGATGTACAACTTGAAGGGCGTAAGTCGGTCAGATGGAGGTCATGATTCAGTTGACAATTTTATTCACAGAATAATGTCTACCAAGCGTGTTCACTATGGCGACGTTCATTCATGAACGCCGAAAGCGTAGTGCGAAACGCTTTGATCTCCAACGAGGGGCCTATGCGACATAGTTATTAGCTATCAAAGAGGGCCTGCTCGCTGACGAACTGATGTCGGATATGATGTACAGCATCTTCTGCAAGGTAAAACTCGGCTCGCAGACATCCGAGTTGTCGTTTGGGTAGGCGTGAATTGGACATGGTGAGACCGCATCCTGCTAGCTGGACTCAGCATCACCCTACAACTACTTTCTTCAGAAATTCAAGAAGTGGATTGGAGTCACCAGACAACCCTTATTGCTGTCATCTGATGGTTATGCGGAGCCTCTCAACTTCCGAAGTGAAGACGCACCGGAATGCATACCGCGATGCACGATGTAATATTTCGGGTCTCGTGTGTAGTCTGGGGAGCTCACAATCGAGAAGTTGGTGAAGAGCGTGGATATGCCTGACATCGCGGGCTGTCATTGTAGGGAGGGAGGTCCTCCAAACAGGAGTTTTTTGAGACTGCATCCTCGAGGTTCAGGGTTGACCACATTCTGGATCATCATACTCTCGACCGCCATGTCTTGGTCGGTCATACCGTCGCCGTTGCCTTGGGCCATCAATGCAGCATCCTTGCATTCGCCTATACATGCCTGTGGAAATCGTCTGTGTTTTCGCAAAGGACAAAGGAAAAAAGATTCGGATACCGGGAGTCGAACCCGGAGCTGCTGTGAACACACTACGCAATCGATGATTACGCAAGTATCTTGAAAGACAGCCATGTTAGCCGCTACACCATATCCGATTTGAAAGCTGAGAAGTATCGATATCCTTGATGCCATGATGGAGAGTTTCCAAGAAAGAGTCCACGTGATCATGAGACTTGCATGATGGTCCAAGTCCTGCTCGGAAGTCACACATCCCGCATTGTCCTATCTTCTTCTTGAAAACTATCCAACTAAATCTGTACACATGGCAGATATGTCGTCTGATGATATAGTTGCCAGACAGCTTGCCAACATGGCTCAAACTAAAGCGGGTTTGGTGGGTGATAATATATTCCCTGTATTAGTTCATGTTCATCATAACAAGGTCCTACCTAGGAGACCTCGCTGAACCCTGAAGAAAATACCAGGGAATTACGTGCTACTTTGGAAAAGAAGAATTCGCTGCTGTATGCCCTGGCTGAGGTTCAGAAAGATTTTGAGAACTATCGAGCTCAAATGACTGTCGATGTTGGGTTGGATGAAACGAAGGCTTTGTGTGACTCATACTTGCCGACTGACGGTCACACTGCTGTAGGGTCATTCGTCCTTGCTGTTGGGGCGATAGACTTTAAACCGTATACAATATGGACAAAGGCTTTGGTCAGTACCTACTTTTCATTCCTTTGTGTGCGCTGGGTGACCATTTCCACAGCCTGAGTGACTGGTGACCTTCAAGTCCACCTGGACTCATCCGAATATCATTTTCTATTGGGGGCTGGACTTACGATGTATGATTTCTCTGCCAGCACATTTACTTCTTGGCGTGAACAGCTCGTCCTGTTCTCCCACGTTGTAACCCATATCCAGAAACCTGTACATATACAAAGTTGTATTTCTTAGCGATTGACCTCTTGTAGTTTCTCGATGCAAGCTATCTTCACACAAACTTGCATCTGTGGCAAAGGATTTCATGATATCACTGCTTTCACTAGACACGAGAAAGGATGCAGCCGAGGCAAGAAACGCTTGTCTGGGGTTCTTGCAAGAGCCAAGCAAGCCTTACGTCCAGAAAAGGAAACGGGTCAAATCTCCGGTTCCGGAGGCCAGAGTGGTCCAAAGCGGAACACATCACAACCCATGCTAACTTTCGATAGAATGGCTGGCTACTCTGGTTGTTCACTGGGTGGTACTGTGACACAATGGTAGTCTCGAGGGTGATATAGATGAGAAGTTGTCTAGACTTCAAGCAAATGAGGGGCAATGTTAGCATCCAACGAGGCGACTGCGAGACTTCCATCTGAGTCAATGATCGATTGAGAAATGCCAACCCCATATATGTCACGGTGGAACAAGTAGGTCTAGATCTACGAGGTTACTAGTACCCTTGGACCCGAGACTACACTTCGACTGAAGTACTTGACCGTCTTTTTTCTGGGAGTGCTCCAGATGCCGCAGGCTGTGCAGCTTTGGTTTGCTCGACGAGGTGCCGACGTGATGAAAAGCCTGGAGGGGCCCATTTGCGCGACGTCCAAGGTTTACAGTCTGGATCGAGGTACATCTGCAAGTCAGATTAGCAAAGGTTAGGATACAGTGGATTCTGGACAATGTACCGTGTTGACGTCCTCGAGTGAGAGATCAGAGGATTCATAGAGGAATAGATAGACAATGGCGGCCCCTAACAAGTTGCATGCTGTAGACATCATTTGCCTAAGTACCAATCGCCGCATGGCAGGGACAAGACCCACCTGCAAACACATAACCGTAACTGTAGCCTATTCTTCTGCTGATAAATGGCGTGAAGAAAGCGATCAAGAAGTTCCAAGTCCAGTTGGAGGCGGTCGATAGACTTCCTTGCTTCGCACGTGTTCGCGTCGGGAAAGTCTCGCCAATCAAAATCCAGACACCCCTGCGTCGTGGGTGCAGAAGATTATGAAAACCGGAAAGACAACAGACATCCACACTCACGGAGCCCAAGTCGTCGCATAGCCCCAGATGAACATGCACGCGGAAACAATCATGACTGCGTCCACGATGGTTACTTGCATGCAGGAATTCACGAATAGAGCACGCACGCTTTCCCATGTTTGGATGGGCCACAGGATCACCAGCCGTTCCCGCAGAAGCAAACACAAGGAGCCAGACAGATTGCCATATGCCTCCACAGATCAGGGGTCTACGGCGCCCAAACTGTGTGCAGCGAGAGTGAGAGGAGTCGCGCGTAAATATGATACGAAACACACTCTTTCCATGACGTATAGGCCGCCGAATGTGCAAATGAAATTTACCGCACCGAAGATGATCTGAGTAACGAACGAGTCGGAAAGACCAACAGACCGGAATAAGGTAGCGCCATAATAGAAAAAATAGTTCGCGCCGGTAAGCTGCTGTAGACTTTGCAGGCTCATGCCAAGAAGCGTGCGGTAGAGAGTCTTGTTTTTGGGTTTAAAACAATCAACCCAGCCACTCTTCTCCATCTTGTAGAACTGAAAATCGGATCTCATTTCGTCGATGTCACGTTTAATGATGTAGTGGTTTGCAGCTTCGGTCGGGGTGATACCACGAGAGCGTCCAAGGGAACCTCGCGCCTCGTCCAAGCGGTCGTGAGCTGCAAGCCATCTAAGGAGAAAAATGTTAGACGGATAATAATGAATGAAATATCGAAATCGTTCCTTGGACTTTCGGGCATGAACAGGATGCCAATACCGAGAATCAACGCCCATATGATACCAATGGCTATTGAGGTGCGCCAGGAACCTGATCCACTAATCCCCCTTGTACCTATGGAAATGCAGTCTACGCAGGAAAGTGTGAGCTCATGTTAGAACCTGAATCAAATCTTCAACTTACATGCCATCAAAATACCGAAAGTAATGAAAAGCTGGTATGTAGCGCTAGTCTGAATATTAGGCCCTGGTGACCTGATACTGCATACATCACGAACGTTAAAGTACCACGGATTTGATGAGGAGCGGTTTCGGCTTGGTACTGGAAACTGTTTAGGGGATATATGTGCATGAATGATGAGCTGCTGACCATAGGAACTGCGGCACTGAGCGCGCCGACGCCCAAGCCACTGATAAGACGTCCAATGGCATATTGCTGCCAAGTATGTGTTGCGGCAAGTTGAATAATGACTCCTATAATGAAGACAGCACATTCCGTGGTCATCGCATGTCGTCGACCAAGAAAGTCAGCAATACTGGAGCAACAATCATTTGTGAGCAGAACAGTAGTGCGGTGCCACCATCACGCACGAAGCACCAATGAGAGCACCTGCTAGCGTTCCAATTGATAGCAGCGACACGATGAGGCCTTCGCGGACAGTAGAGAAATTGCATGTCGATGCATCTCCAGGAGTAGAGCATGTCGCGAATCGTAGAAGAAAGTCGTCCATGAGTAGGATGTCGGAAATCTGACCGGTGTCGTACTAAACTTGACCGGTGACATGTCAACTCGAATTCTCGGACAAGCTAACCAGCCTACCCCGAAGATGAAACCACCCATGGACGCTAACAGCGCCAACATAATGGCGACCCATCCTATGGGCAGACCTTGCCTGTGTTCATGGGTTCAGCTGAGAAATCACAGGACCGATGGTGCCAAGATACATACACATAGAATAATGTCATGTTGTCCTGCGTATTTGACTGGACACTGTGAACGAAGGACTAAATGTTGGATGCGGGTGATTCATAAAGGGACGGAGTACTGATGTCATGTCATCTCTTTTGGGAACGGACGGCGTCGCGCCCCGAGCAACTCCACCGTTTGCTTACCTTTTGTCCGGGGGAACCGCTCGCAAATGCAGCGATTAGCAATAATAAAATTGATTTACAAGTGTTTCCTGTCGGTGCTAATATTTCAATAGTCGGCTTTGAGACAAAAATTTCAAACCGTCGCTTACCAGCCTCCTCATATGACGTTTTTGGTTAGTACTTTGTGCAGTCTCCTATCTTCCCAACGGCAGCCTCAAATTTACACGGTAAAGTTTCGTTGCATGCGGTCTCAGCAACCAGCTATTCAAGACAGTAGTCTATCGTACAAATTGCAATGTGAGTTGTGGAAACCAGCGACACTCGAGGTCATCCTACCATAGCCCCCACCTGCACACCCGTCTTGCGCGTGCACACGTGGAGAACTGGAAACAAGTGAGTTATAGTTCCGAACATGAAATAATCAAATACATACCGGATTCCATGGCGGCGCCGGCGGATTCGCCGCTGTCAAAGAATGGCACTTAAAACATTGATTTGACCATCCGACACTGGCCTTGGCGCACGGAAAGTCTTCCTGACGCCATGGAATGTCATTTCTGTCGTCTTGAAGCGAACCTGTAGTGCTTCGATCAGGGAATAAGTTGCGCTCCATACCCAAGAACGACATAGTCGCTCGGAGTTCCGAAGAACTTTCAACTATCTTCATTGTGCCAAAGAGGAGCTATGACTAAATGATCCAGACCAGTTAGTTGGCCCCATGAACGGTTCTAGCGCCGTCAGAGGTGCCGAAGCCACTGGGGTGGTGTGCGGGGAGTTCCCAAGCATGCCGCAAAACCCGTCACCGCGAACACCTTCCGAGAGTCGAGACAGCACTGAGGAGGTGAAAGTTCACTGCACGGCGAGACAGCCTAAGAAACGGGGCTGCTCTTTCACTTTCTTCTTCTGGAAGACATTGAAGGAAACTTCGTCACAAGATATAGCGACTTCTACAGAAATGAAATCAAGAAGATGCGGGGCGTACGGCGGACATTATCCTGTTACGACTGGACCGCATGCCATCTACTGCCCCGAATAGAATTAGTTTCATTTCCGACGACATAGCGTGGACGGACACATCTGCGGACGCGGTGTATACATGCCAGATTTACTCAAATTTCATTGCGGTTCTCCTTGACGCGTGAGACGCTGCAGTAATCGTTTTCAGCTGTGCTTTCGCCATGATGATGACGATAATGATGATGATGATTTGAAAAGCCAACAAACAGCGATGGACTCGAACACGCGCTCTGTCACAGTCACGATGTCGCGCGACAATGTGACTGAACGCCAGACTCAGACGCGTCTAGTACTACAGTGTACACGACATCCAGCTTCAATTGCGA